TCATGAACGTGTAGGTGGTCAGCAGGGTATCCTCGAACCACATATGGTCCACTCCGATGGCGGCTACCATCACTGCCGCCGTCACCAGTGTGGGGGAGCTCTCGCCCTTCAGGCCGCGTTCAGCCAACACGAACAGCACGGCAAGTAGCACGGCGGCCACGCAGCAGGCGCGCGTCATCAGCAGCTTCATGTCGAGCCCCAGCAGGCGCGGCGCCAGCTCGCGGCCCTCGGACACGTTCACCAGCAGGGAGTCAGTGTCGCCGGAGGAGTTCAGGTCGAGCAGGTGGGCCGAGCGGGCGCGCCAGTGGAGCAGCGGAGCCAGCAGCAGGGCGGTCACCGCGCTGGCCACCATCAGCAGGCGGAGTTTGAGCAGGGCGACCATCACCGGCGCGTCCAGGTAGTAGGCCAGCACGACGCCGCCGACCGTCAGGACGAGCGACAGGAAACCTGACGGAGGGCGAGGGCCGGATAGATATTAGAGTCGTGTCGTGGAAACGGATAAAACATAGTAGCACAAACTCCAGGGAGACACGGCATTGGAGCGTTTTAAGAGTGACATGGATCATATAACATTGATCGAGCGGCCGAGCAGACTACCGAGTCAGATAAGAGAACGACGACAATCATGGCTAGCGGTTACAAGTAAAGATAGCGGCTCAAGTGCAGATCCAATAGTGAAGCATCCGATGAGAAAACAACCGTTGATATTAGAGCAAACAGTCTAAGTTGCAGCAGGTTAGCATTTGGTTTAGCACGACATGCAATTACCATAATACCAGAAGTTGTATTCATCACTGAGACTATCCTATCACAATACGATCTGTAAAACACAATACGGCTGCAAACACGTCACAATTCATAACTATTCATTTTTATACGCATTTGTTGCGCAACAATCAATCCTCCCTTATAATCACTCAATCATACACTACGCTCGATTCCTTAGTCACCCTAGCCTCCGTACTTTTTTTCGGCCATCCGCCCGGCTTACCGTTGCATCGGTAGCGTCGGATGCCCTGTTTGGAGATCTGGCCCTCCACCTCGCGGCCCACGGGCAGCAGAGAAATCGCCACTTGCACGGCCAAAAAGCCGAGAACGCACGCGAACGCCACCGGGTCGAACCACGCCTTCAGCGCGGTCGGCACCTCTGGCACGCGGCGGATCGAGCAGTGCTTCTGTCGGGACATCAGACGGGCGAGCGGTTAGAAAGAGGATCAGCGCCCAGCGGTCAGACGGAACGAGACAGACAGACAGACAAGGAGAGGGGCGGGGACGAGCGGACGAGGGGCAAGGTACGAGTACACTGCAAAGGGGATAGACAGTAGCCGTTCGGTAGGCGGGATAGCAACGGAGACAGTTACACTTGAAGATGAGACTCCGATAAGATAGGCTGACACGTTAGCGGTCAACAACGATGCCACTTCATAAGTACTTCATTCAAAAACGATCCAAGTACCCACATCCGCCACCGTTCGTTGCGTTTTCTGATACGAAAAGACCAATTACAAAACAAACTTATTCTTCCAATGAAAATCGGCATTATTAGTGATTCCTAATGCATAATTATCAATTTGACCTCAGACCTTCCCTAACGCGTATTTCTCAACCACCATGCCACATTTCACCTCACTCTAAGCTCTCCTCACCTTGTTACAGGCCGAGTAGACGTAGAGCGGCAGCAGCGCGATGCCCAGCACCATGGGAGTGAGCAGCGCGCGGCCCCAGCCCACGTGCGTGTCCCGTTTGGGCTTCAGATCCTCCTCGGCAGCGGCAGGGGACGGCTCGCGGGCAGTGTCCCCGCCGGCGGCCGGGTCAATACCCAGCTGGGGGAGATCGTGAGGGACGGGTCAGATTTCAGATGACCGCAGATGATTTTCGGATTAGACAATCGACATTCAAACCCGGGCCCTGTTAGGTCGCTGTTTTTACATCAGCGTGCTGTCGGTTTTCCCCCTATAAAGAAGTTATTGCTGGCGCTTCTTGGCCTCCCGTTGGTCTAACGAATAGACCACTTGAATTCGACCAATGAGGAGCCAAGAAGTAGCAGCATGGTCGCAGCCTGCTGATAAATAAACGGGGTGCGAACAGAGCTCAGGCCAGGGTAGGCAAAGATGAAGCAGTTGCTGATCAAGATTCAGTTTACAAGCAACACAGTAAATCCTTCAGCTTCAGTGAAGATGAATACTGTCGTTACTGGCGTTATCTCACTTTGCATATGTAGTGGCCTTCCTCTTCTCTGTAAGCCCCTTCTCTCTCAGCCCACCAGCCTCACCTCTCGGAGCTTGTTGGCGATGCGGGCCGAGTGGCGGGTGGTCACACCCGACGGAGACGGCTCGGGCGCCTTCTCCTTCTCCTCCTCCTCCGGCGCCGGCTTCGAGTTGCTGTTGGCGTTGTTGACCGGAGGGGGACTGGCGACCTCGACAGGTACCGGTGCGGTGCGGGTCAGCGGCCGCCGGGCGCGCACCTCAGACTTCGGGGTGGATGTGAGCAGCTCGGCCGACGGAGCGGCGCTCTCAGCCGGCGGGGGTGTTACGGAGTTCGGCACCGCTGCAAAGCAAAAGTGGCAGCAGGGTTAGCGATAAATATACCGGAGATGGGCAATAAACTCAAAACACAGGACGATGAGTGGCCATGAGTGTGGTGGTCATATGATATGTCACAGAAAGCATGTCAACACAATCCATAGTATCTAACAGTTTCCCAACTATGACTGCCCAACCAGCCAGGCATATTCTGACTCACCTTTCTGCGCCGCCGCGGCCACGCGCGCCGGGGACCGGGAGCGCGTGACGCGCTGTCTGGTCGGTGGCGACTGGCTGGAGCGGCTGGCCGGCGCGCTGGCACGCGCCGGCGACTTGCTGACGCGCGCCGGCGACCGGCTGGCCCCTCCGACACGACCCGGCGACCGACTGGCGCGCGCCGGCGACTTCCGGCCGCGACTCCGCGACCGAGAGCCCTGGGGACAGTGACGGTGGCAGTGAGAGGGGCGTGGGATTTAGGGGTATGTGTTGGCAAGTTATATAACACAAGGTAAAAAGGCACTTACTATTGGTAATGTTAAGATGCATAAGGTCAATGCAAGTTGTTTTATCTTCATAACAATACACAATATTGGCACTTACCCGCGCTTGCCTGCTTCTTGATGGAGTTCGAGACCTTGGCATCTGAAAAAGATGATCAGTTTGAAATAGGCAAATCACGACTTTGGATAAAATGATGTTATAAATGTTGGAATGGAAGTCTTTTAAAAATAATTCCCAACCACATTCCATTTGGAATTGCAGAGGTCCAAGGACCAAGGAACTATCAGGCATGAGGATTAGAGAGGGAGTCAGGAACTGGCACAATCCATTATGTAGGTACCTACCCTATCTAATTGAAAGTTAAGTGCTTGAATATTACAAGGGAAGAAAATAATGTTAATAAGCTGCTAGATCACGTCTTATGACCATAACAGAGGGGGGAGCTTGAAGTGGGAAATGCATTTAATTGGCCATCTCACATTTTTTTTAGCACCCTGGTCCCTGGCTCAACTTTGCTGGGGAGCAGTGTCCAACTGAAACAAACTCCAGACTGAGACTGAACTGCAGATCCACCTCACCAATTGGCAAATCTACCATGCAAAGACAAACCTGATTACATTTGGATGACCTGACCTCTGGCCTTAGGTAATAACCTATGATCTGACGTAGGTGATCATTTTAGCCTTTGCATGGCAGGGTTGCAATTTGATTTCTTCACAGACGAGAATCAAAGGGCGTTCAGACACTACAAAACATTTTAAAAGCTCTCAGCCATGATGCATGCACAGTATGCAATAAACTATTAACATGCCAATTTGAATTCTTAGGTTGAAATCAATATAGCATCAGTGGAACTGGTCTAAAGGTACGACAGTCTCATTTTGTAATTCAAAACAAGCAAAATTTCACATGAAAATGTCACAAAAATGCAAAGGATGAGCAGTGTCTCACAGCTATCTTCGTTCTCCGTTCTCACACCTATTAATTATCGCTGTATGTAGGAATTAAATAATATAAATAAAGCTATTTTGATTTACAACTTTGGTCGATATCTAAAAATGTCGTAACTGTGAGCTCTGCTACAGTTCCCCATTTTTCAAATTCGTTATGTACCCGACACCTAAATTGAGCTTGAAATCATTTACATTATAAAACAGTTTATTTAGCAATTAAATCCCAGATCAAATACCTTTAAAAAGCCCTCGCAAACAAACACAACCCCAGCAACACTCCGGCACAAAATAGACAAATTTGGCGTCCCAATGGCGGTCACTGAGCGGCGTCGTTTTGAACCGGCGGTTCTGATTGGTCGAGAGCTGATAATTGCCCGCCGGGAGCGTGCGTAAACAGAGACGTGAGTGGGGAACCGCATCGCGCGTGTGTAACGGGAGAATATGGGAATGTGAAATCTGAACCCGTGGGAAAAAATCAAATTGTATGTTTCATTTGCAGGTCGGTTCAAACTTAATTTTCAGTTAAGAATCAAATGGAGAATGTCTAGTAGAATATGAAAACTTGGTGCAGAATTGGAGCTCGACGCCAATTTTAAATCCCACCAACTCCTCATTTCCGCGGAATGAAGGGGCGGCACCGAGGGCTTCGACCTCCCGTCTTCACCCCTGTCGCTGATGGGATGGGCGATGACCGAATCAGTGCCACATGGGTTACACTCTCAGCGCCTGTGCAGCCCGCCATGGCGCCATTCTCCGATAAAACAGCAAAAATAGCCTATGGCTCATACCCTCAGGGCAGGGGGCGGGGCATGACCCCGTGACCCTCGAGGTCCTCCCCTGAGCCTGGCCTGGTCAAGGCCAATGCAAAAGCTTTTGGACGTTCCGCTTTAGCATTTTAGCCGCGAGCAGAAGGGGTGTAACCATACCCCCGCGGTCCCGCGCTGTCCGCCCCGTCCCTGCGTCCCAGTCGGCCTCCCCCGTCCTCCCAACATCGACGAGCCACATAACATAACAAACGATGAGGTGGACAGCGAAACATGTATTCGTTTTCACTCGCCGCGGGCGTAACAATCTCACACAGCGCGCATTCCTAGCCGCAGAACGCCGGTGAAATGGGTGATGATCGGTGCCGAGCACAGCGGCCAAGCGGGAAACACCTAAAGCGCACTTCACACCGATCGCGCCGCCTGCAGCGCCAAACTGCGGTGTGCCGTGTGGACCCGCAGCCAGAGCCGCCGCCACTTCAGACACCAAATGGCGTGTGGGGAACAGTGCGTATAGAATTCAGAAAACGTTCAACGCTGATATAAACTCCATGCCCGCAGCCAGGAGCCGGCTAATTTGAACATGATTTGAACCGGGTCGTAACACCGCTAGTATTGACAGCAAGAACTATAAAAATACAGCGCCACCTACCTAGCACGGATCACATCCGCAGCACTCCGCAAAGGTCGTATCGAAACGCTGAATGGCGCAAGGGACATCACGAAAGCCTCGTCAAAGCAGCTGACACCGGCCGACCGCCGGTTTTTACACGCCGACATTTCGGTGACACGGCGTGACATTTGGTGACAGAATGTCGACACCAAGACAAACGAAGACGGAGGGCGGGCAAACCCACACCGGTCACATCCAGACCTCACGAAACGGAACTCTGCACCAGCGAGTCGCGACGTTCGATAACAGACTACCTATGGGAACACTTGGCTGGGCGGCGCCGTCCCGCCGCGGTGTTCTACCCGCCTTGTCACAAGCCTTACAGGTTCCACCCATCATGCACCGCGCTCCTACCCCAGCCCGGGCTGTCCTCTGATCAGGAGATCTAGAGAGACGGCTCCGGCACAACCCCATAAATTACAGCTTTGCATATCTCCGCATATGGCAGGCATTTCGCGATGGTTTGTGCTGTCTAGTCCCGTGCGATGATAATCTCTACACTGAAACGGCTATGCCGTTGTCAACATCCCCCACATTACAGACGGTCACACCGCCGTGCCTATACTTCTCGGCGCGTCGTTCACAAGCCTTGCCGACGCTCCGCAGTCCGCCCCGCTGCTAGAGTCGTAACAGTGACCTTGCCCGCAGCACAGCCAAATATGCATCGCGCCGGCGACTCTGCTGCTGCCGCAGCCGACATGCACATGTAAAGCTCTTCAAACAGGTCGCATATTTATAAAGCCCGCAATCATGCATACCGCGCCAGTCCAATAATACAGCCTATTGACATCGAGCCCTCGGCAGACTCACACGAGCACACGTTAGCACTCCCCCACGACTAAGTCCCCAGGATGTCGACACAGGTCCTCTTCCCGTCCGTCGCGCTCTCTCACTCTCTCCCTCACCGTCCCTCTCCCCACTGCGAGATCACGCTGCGCCGCGCGCCGCGCCCCTAGCTCACTTCTTGCTCAGCTGGTTGAGGAACTCCAGCTCACTGATGGTATTTCTGGTAAAACTGTCCATCTGCGCGTCCGGCCGCTCCTCGGCCGGCAGCGCCTGCGGCGGCGGCGGCATGTCCAAGAAGTTGAGACTCTGAGACAGGTTGCTGGAGAGGTGGCCCTCGATCGCCTGCTGGTTGGCCTCTGACTCAGAGGGGAAGCTCAGCATGTTGAGGTCGGCAGAGTTGAGCTGGCTCAGGTCGAGCTCGATGATGGAGGAGCTCACCGGCCGCTGCGTGTCCAGGTCGAGCAGCTGGTGCGCGCTGGTGGGCGGTGCGGCCGCGGCGCCCAGCGGGGAGGCCGGCGCGGCGCCCGGCTGCTGCGGGGACCGCGCCGCCCGGTGCACGCTGCCCGGAGCGTACATGGCCGGGTACTCCTGTTTGACCAGGTCGGCGGCGGCGGCGGTGGGCGCGGCCAGCCGGGCGGCGTAGGCGGCGCGCTGCTGCAGCTCGTAGGGGGTCGGCTGGCGCACGATGCCGCCGCCGGACATACTGGTGGGTGAGACGATCCCCTGGGCGGGCACGTCACCGCCCGGGTACATCGGCTCCGGCACCGGGTCTGCAGGGAGAGAGAGAGAAAGCGTGGTTAAAATATCTGTGGAGCTTCGGGAGTTGATCGGAGCAATCGAGGAAAAGTTTTGCTTGGACGCGTTATGGGGAGCATTGTGCTGTAATGATGACAAAAGCAGCAATAAAACTAGGACGCGTACACTTCTTTTCGTGATGTTATCTGTCAATTTAAAACGAATTTAAAAATCGCGTAAGATAATTCCGCTCGTTTGGTAATAATTACAAAACGCCAAATTCTTGTCATTTTTTTATTTTGTTGGGTTAGGCCCTTTCGGTCCAATGAGACCATTTCAGAGCCGGGAGGATGATAGGATATAGGGGGAGACATTGGTCTGGGCAGGCACCCTAGTGAGTCGCCGGGGCTGAGCCCGTCCAGATGACAGGCCACCCAGCCCCAAGGCACTCACTGCACCCGGCTACGGGGTGCGCTCCCTCGGGAGCAGCGGTGCCGCTCCAAGGGAGCAGCCCGCATGAGATTAAGTTGCCTGTCCAGCCCGGAGCCGGGTTGTGGCGTGGAGGAGTAGGATTTCAGTATCCTGAGGATAGAAGCACGGAACGGTGGAACCCAAATTCTTGTCAACGTAACCTTAAAGAGTACAACCAAAACACAAAATTATGACGAGACATTCATGGAAAAGACTACCGCCTAAACTTAACCATCCAAAAGGCCGAAAATGTTTCCGGGATAGAGCCTGCATGCTCTATCGTAGTCTAGTTCTTACCGACTGGCTCCGGTTTGATGGTCTTCAGACGGTGCCGAGATGTCGCCTTCATTTTCGGCCGGGCGCCGACGGCATCAAACGACTGCTGACCTGCCAACAGACAACAGAAAATTCAGCCGAAATCACCCACCGCACCGGTCTCAGGCAGACGCGCTGGGTTTTCACAAAACCCCTGCACCCATGCTTTCCACGGAAGCCCGAATTTTCGGCCTTAATCCCCGGCGCCACCGGGCTGGACCTAATTTGGCCGTCGGTGGCCATTTTTGCCGGCGCCGCGCCCGGTTTGCATCATCGATCATGCAGCAACATTCCGGTCCGCGTAAACAGCCGCGCTCGGCCACATCCTGGAGTAATTCCCGCCCCGCGCGGCCACCGGCCACTTTGGAATTCCCCAGCGGCCGGCGGCGGCGGCGGCGGACCGGTGCGCGGTCCCCATGGCGGCCACTGTCGGCCGCTACCTGCCAGCTCAGCGCCGCCGCCGCAGTCCCTCCCCCGCAGCTCACGCGGCGCACCGGTCACCGCCGGAAGTGATCGGAGGATGGCAGCGTGGCGCGGGGACCGCTGTCACCAGCCGGAGCGCTCCAGCCGGCCGGACATCCTCGGCCAAGGCCGGCCGGCCGGCTGGGGAAGGCCGCGCCGGCGGCGGCGCGCCGGTCGTCGGCCGGGCCGGCCCGCGCGCCGCCGACCGGTTTGGGTGTCGGCGGCCGACAGAGGCGGACACAGGCCGGCCGGGAAGCCCGTGCCGCCGCTCCGGACCGGCCGGACACAGGGACACGGCCGCGTGGGAGGAGGGCAGCTACCGCGCCGCCGCGCGGCCGGCCGGCGTGGATCCGGGATGACACCCTGAGATCGTCTGCCCATCTCCGCCCGCTACCGGGCCGTCACCGCTCCGCTAACCGGCCCAGCAACAGGGCTCCCTCCCCGACCCTCCCTCAGCCCACCTGGCCAGCCGAGCGTCAATGCTCGGCCCGGCGCCTCGTCACGCTGAGTTGAGGTACGCCGGGAAAGGCCAGCCTCGCCCGGCCGCCGTGGTCCGGCTTCTATAACTCACCCTCTCCCTCTCCGAGGTTTTCGGCCAGGAACCGGTGCAGGCGGTCCGAGTTACGGGCCATCTTCCGTTTCTTCTCCTCAATGCCGTCTGTTGATGGAGAATGAGAGTTTATTAGTGGAGATAATGAGACGTGAAGGCATTACGGGACGTGTTAACGACACGCTGAAGCTGCATTCACTTAACTTTACGCTCGTCGCCAGCTACGTTGATTATTTATATTTTCACGTACGGAATGCACTCGCTATGCATCTTCGTGACTTGATTTAGATTGATTCATTAATTGCACGGTGTGCAATGTGCATAGACGGGAGTTGAATATCGTTTGTCAGATCATAAGCTGCCCGTTGTACTCTAATTTACAGCGGTGATTACAATATCTATCTTATTCCATCTGTGCAGTAACATTTAATGACACATGTTTAGATGCAACAACTCCACTTACACATCAAACCCGTCTGTGACAGATATAAATGATTTTTTTAAAGCAAATAACAGCTCTAAATAATGTACCATAACCGGACATAAGACCCCTACGTAGATCATAACGTCCCAATGACAACTGCATTTGACCAGTTCTGCTGTAAGTGTTCTCACTTCTCAGCCCCGTACCCTAACCACTCGCCACATGGCCCTATCCCGAGCCTGGTGGTTCCTTGCACTTACCACAGTCGACCGGTGTGAGTGTGAAGGCGCGCGACTCGCTGTACTGTTTGTCCGAGGGCCGCCGCAGCTGAATCTGTACCCGTACCGGAGTGTCCAGCTGTGTGACAGAAGGGAGACGGTTAGCTGAGGGGGCTGGGTACAGTGACGGGTACTGACTGCATTGCGGGACTATCGTGACAATTGTGAGAACACACACACACAAAAAAAAACTGGTAGGTTCGTGTCAGTTGCTATGGGGTTACATAGGCACCAAGATTCTAATTGTAACAAAAATCTAAACATAATAATACGTTCGTTTCTATAACTATAAATTCAAGCCAAATAAAAATTGGCACGAAGTTTAATTGACTGTTCTTGGGAAGCGAATGATAGGGACTCCGCTAGCATGACATGGAACTTACGTCTGGGTTGGCGTATCTGGGTGTTTTGAAGCATATCGCCACTTGCTTGTGTACGTCTGCTGGCAGGAACTCCCCGAATCCCTCCCAGTAGAGTCGGTTGTCGCGCACCTCGAAAAACCGCACCTCTATGTCATCTGAAAAACGCGGAAAGTGGGTAAGATGAGTGACCTGGGTCAAATGTGAATGTCTATAGAACAGTAACACAGTGCGGCACAATTAGGAGATAATTTGATTGTCTGGCTTTCTCAAGACAGGCTGATTTTTAGGCACTCGATTTCCGCGAGAAGCTTGAAAAGGACGCATAGGGATGTGTTACCGTTACTTTATCAAAAGACAGTCACAGGAGCATTCTAGCCTGCGTAACTAACATCACCTACAACTAGACCAGCCGCGAAAGGACCTGCAGTCCATTTGTCACCCCATCCGGAGATCATTCAGCAGAGATGTCGCCCCGGACCTGTTCCCTGTCACCCAGCCAGCAGGTGTCGCCGCTAATACAGGACAAGGCCCTATATACCATACAGGAGACGCCTCACTCTCCACTGCTCCACCGCTCCCTCTCGGGCCCAGGGGCACGAGAGTACCGTTATAACAGAGCAGCGGCCGACAAATGCGCCCATTGGCCATGGAAGACTGAGCAACACTGCGCCATTTTTCGGAATGAAGAAGCAGCCCGGTGGGAAGTGGTTCGAGATGAAGATGAAAAATTCACATTGAACTAACATCGCGCGAAATTGACTTAGAAATGGCGAATCACCCAAACTAATCGTTTGTATCCTTAGAATGTCTAGACTGAACTTCCAACAGCCTTCTTTCGAAACATGCAATGTTGTTCTACGTATAACAAGTTGAGCTCAGCCGACGCATAAGACGGACCCTGGCCGCTGAACTTTGATCTTAGTGTTTCGTGCGGCCGCAGACCGGGCTACCACTAACACATGTGCGTCACTAACATTGGGAGCCGACGGCAGCTGGAAATAACAGCCGGGCCAGCTTCTACGTGCCTGACGTCAATCCGTTTCCAGGAAGGTCGGACAGCGACACGCGGCATTTTTGTTGTTGTTGATTGCCGCATCGGAAAACCCAGTTATGCAATGGTGCCGCTTCACTGGCAGTCAGGCCCGATCAATCAAACTCAGTCATGTTTCCGCTGTAATTCCTGACATGCCACTCGACCGCAACTATTTCATACCTGAAACTGAATTTTTCGGTTGGATTGGGAATCCCACATGGTAGGAAAGCAAGTTATCCAGCTTTTCCTAAATCACGCAACACGTGCTGTGGTATAGACCGAAACTAGTAACCATGCCGAATGTCTTCACAGCGTTCTTAGTGTATGCTATAGGTCTTGAGTGGCAATAGCACTTTCACGGCTGCATCACATTTTTGGAGTTCATAGACTACAGCAAATAAATGTGATAGAGCTCGCTATTGCTCGAATTCTTGCTCCCTTTCAGAATACTGGATAATGCATACATGTGCTAAGTCAGAACTCCAAAGGGAGTTATGGCATATGTATGTTGCTGACAATGCTGACAGTAACGCTGCGACTAACGGTTCTCCTACTTCACAGGCCGGAATCGGAGGAAAAGGCCGGTGGTGTGGCAGACGGGCGCGTCCTCACCTTTGGTGACTTTGTCGCACAGCAGGATAATATCCCTGCCTCCTGCCGCTGACGCCGAGCAGTCCGACATTTTGTATATCACCAGATCGCACATCGACTCTGAAACACACAACGACGCCAGTCAGTCCCGAAACATCCACCAGAGTATTTAGGATCGTGAACCGAGCAGACAGAGGTCCCAACCCGCCCGGGACCCGTTACTCACTCATGGGAATCCCTCCCAGTGATGTCATTAAAGCATCGTCACGAAGAAAGCATGTCCACGATCCGCGAGAGAGCTGATGCCGCCGAGATAAGCGGCTGAATGGCCAGCGTGGACCAGTGACGTAAGACCAGCGGGACCAGTGACGTAATACGTGCCACCGCACGACAGCCCGGACTGACCGCACGGCGGCGAAAACCCGCAGAAATATAACGACCAGTGGTGAGCGGGGTGGGAGGTTAGTGACAGAGGTGTGAACACTTCAAACGAAAAGCTAAAATAGCACATATAAAATAAAAATATCAGCAGCTGGACATAGCAATGGAGTAGCAGCTGGTATCCAGCTAGTACTGAACTAAAAGTGTAGCTAAAGTAACCGTTAGGTCGTGGGTTTTACCAGTTGCCACACCTTACCTATATGATTGCTCAGGCTATTAACGCCACACCTCAGCCATTGCCTGTTACTATTTAACGCTTCAACGCTCTGAGGATGACCATAATTACGAGGTATTAGTGTGTGAATCCACACTGCGAGCTGGATGTTGGCACCAGGCACGAACAGACGCTAGGTCAAACGCAGAACATGGAATACTCGTGGGAGAGTAAGAGAGTGGGAGGAAAAGAGAGAGAGAGAGAGAGAGAGAGAGAGAGAGAGAGAGAGAGGGAGAGGGAGAGGGAGAGGGAGAGGGAGAGGGAGAGGGAGAGGGAGAGGGAGAGGGAGAGGGAGAGGGGAGAGGGAGAGGGAGAGGGAGAGGGAGAGGGAGAGGGAGAGGGAGAGGGAGAGGGAGAGAGAGAGAGAGAGAGAGAGAGAGAGAGAGGAGAGAGAGAGAGGAGAGAGAGAGAGAGGAGAGAGAGAGAGAGAGAGAGAGAGAGAGAGAGAGAGAGAGAGAGAGAGACCACTCACTCTTGTCGAAGATGGGGTCTGAGACGACTGGTGTGAGCGGCACCACGAACTTTCCCGGCTCGTGGCCCTCGACAAACACTTGGAAGCACAGTCGCACTGTGTTCAGGTCTATGGCCGTCGGCTGGAGTCGGTGGTCGAACCCGGCTGAAATGGAGGGGCGGGGGGGTGTCAGTACTGGACCCAGCTGATAAAACGGGGGGAGGGGTATCAGTCAAGATCTCAGACGGGGGCAAGGTCAACACAGCATGCAGAGGCGTGGGTAATGTGAGGCGCTAAGAGGAGCTAAAGCAGGATAATGGACGCTATGTTAGCTTGTACTCTCATCGAGACTTGGTAAGTAGGAATCAGCCGCCACATCGCCAATGATCTTATATGAAGCTCTGGTCTTCGAGAACCTAGGGTGCAGCAACACTAAGACCGGCGAGATATCAAGTTCATAACGCAGCTTTAGGTCTGAATGCGTCAGATCTTCAGAAACTCAGGAATGCAGTTGATAATCCCACGTCACGGCACTTAGTCCTAGCCATCAGATACTGTTCGTGCGTAGTATCTAGCTGTATGACCAGCTAGGCCGGCTGACAGGCCGGCTAAAACCACAGACCACGTCACACATCGCTGAGCCGGACCCCGTGCCGGCCAGAGTACCATGACGGCGCTATTTCTGATCAGACAGCTATAAATCACCCGACAACGCAGGAGCACTTGGTGCAGCCGCGTCTGGCCTTAGTGAATCCAAACACAGGGCGCCTAGCAATACAACGTCCCCGGCCGAAATAAACCAACTGCACTGGCGAGGTTAGCAGGTCGTATTCATTTGAATCAGCTACATCAACTAACTGGTGAAGCTAACCGAAGAGGGTAGGACTAGGAAATGAGCAGAATAAAAAATTAGACTCGCTATGAGTCGTTTAATCGGAATCCTCATGGTGCAGCATGTAACCCATTCGCACCATCCACCCAGCGAGTGTAGCCGGATACCCGCTCCCCGCCCTCCACTCTGCAGCGGGTGACTGTCACCGCGCGGGGCGCTCATCCCAGATCAGAGGCGCCGACCCACCGGTACCGTGCACCGCTCCCTCCCCGTGCTCCGGTGTGACAGACGGGGGATCGGTGCCAGGCCGGGCCAGGCTCCGGATTGAGCCGCCACGGGTCCAGACCGGACCGGGCCCGGCCTGGACTCAGACCCCGGGTCAGGCTGCGGGGTGTGAAGTGGACTGATACGAGTCCGTATCTGAATCTGAATGAACCCAGACTCGACTCCGAGCCAGTCTAGAGAGTGAGTGGCACACATGTCCGGAATGAGGCGAGGAACCCGGACTTCGACACGGCTGGCCACCGGCCGCTCCGGCGCCGAGGCGCGGCGCGCCGCTTCACCGCTCCACGTGCGCGCGCGCCGCCGAAATTGGCGCGAACCGTGACCGGCCGGCAGCGGGCTGGGAATCCCGAGTGGCGGCAGCGCGCGCGCAGCCAAGGCCGTGCACCGACCCGTCATCGGCCCGCACCGGTCGCCGGCCTGAGGTAGTCTGCAGAGTAGCAGCGACCGGCAGAGACCGGGCAGGGCGCGGCGGGAGATCTCTGAGCGAGGTGCTCGTCCGATCAGATAGTCGCGGGGGCGGCTAGGTAACAGCCTCCCCTGCCACCTGCTCCCGCCGCCGCTGTTGCCATGGCCAGACGGAATGGTGCGGGAAAGCGCCGCGTCACCGCCCGGCCCGGCGCGGCCCGTTACAGTCACAGTTCAACAGTGCGAATAAAGAGCCCGTCGGGTCACGGGGGACATAAGCCCGACCATGACTGGGCCAGGCACGACTCGTCTGGTGGAATTCCAGCCAAATCTCCTCCACCGAATCCACACGATCCTGAATCCACAGGCGGACTTAGCTAGATATCCAGAGAACGCGTTTGAAACAAAGAGCGGAGACATTGAGGATTAACTGGTAAGACATCCTCGCTTAGCCGTTTGGGCAAGCCCTCAAGCCAATGAGATAAGAGCACAAGGCATGGACTGGCGGACACATGGGTGCCTCGAGCAAGGTACCTGGAAAACCCGCACAAACGTGTCACGCTTTGGAGGTAATCATAAACCGGTTTACCGGGCCGACAGCTAACAATAGAATGTCCGCCCGGGGGGGACAGAGTATCCATTGTGAAATAAAGGCACTAGGCAGCCGAGCCGAAAACGGCCAAAACACGGCACGAAAAGTCAATACACTGAACGGATGAATGATGCTCTAATTTCCAGGGATATTAGCGGCTAGAGGGATAATTGTTCTCAAATGGAGTCGATGATTACATAAATCGAGTTTCCCAATAGTCGTGCCGTGTTCGGTAATGCATTTGGAGGTAACAAGTGATACGATTCGTTCGATTTTTAGACAGTACTCAAGTGAAAACAAGTCTCCATTTGCTAAATGCAAATCTAAATATAGTGCATCGTGAATGCAATAAGAAACATACTCTAACATTCGTGACAAAGTCGCCCGTTTATTACGGGCAGTAAGGCAACCCAATTAGAATAAACCTACCAAAACTGCATTAGCCAAACTGTGGGCACTGAGGACAACCTATCGAACGTAGCTTTCAATGACCGAACAGTTCGAAAGAAACTGATATTTAACTCACTATTCCCCATCCCGGTCGTAGCACTCACTTCTGAAGGGATCGACCAGGATGGCCTCCCGTTGCCGTAGCGAGTCCTCGACGTCCTTCTTCTTCACGCACTGGATGCCCAGGTTCTGGAACGTCACAGACATCGTCTCCACGTTCAGGTTCACCGTGCAGACGCCCTTTTTGCAGCCGTCCTTTCCGACCAGGTTGTGCGGGTGCGGCCAGTGCGGCGGGTCCTTGGTGACACAGGAGACGACCACCACGGCCGGGCCGCGGTAGCCGACCACCTTGACGCTGGGGAAGGTCTTGCTGTCGGCGGTCGAGTGCGCGCCCGGGATGCTGCCCGCCGAGCGGCCCTCGCACTCGTACCGAAACCGGAGCGCCTTGGAGGCCGGCTGCTCGGTGATGACCACCTTGGCTTGTCGCCTGCCGGAGAGAAGAGGTAGGTTAGGGGATCCGTCGCACATACACCGCGAGGAAAAGTGACCACGTCATGGGAGGTTATCATGGTAATTGGTAACTTCAATAATAGCGTGCATTGGTGACATCACATGCGCACAGCTTATCGTTGATGACGGCGAGTACTTATGAACTATAGAGAAATGAATGACAGCATGAGCTTCGAGCCGACAGTGATTAATTATTGCATGAGAGGCAACCGTATGGTATATAACCCCCGGAGCCCTGAGGGTAACAGAGAGTACATTGCACCGGTCGAGTATGACGCACACTTCCTTTGAGAGCATCTATAATCTATTCCCAGCAGTGATGTGACTTCTCGGTAAACATATGCCTAGACAGATGGGGTCTATTCTACACTGCATGTTGCAATGTAAATATATTCAACAGCGTCAGCGGTCAGGAACGCTGCAACCGGTACGACTGACATGACCCTGGACAAGATGCCTGTTCGGACGATATACTGCCCGCGGTGAGCCATGAAACTGCTCGGTGATTGTGGAGGCGCCACCACGGCGATAGGTGTCCGTTTAACCGGCTACTTATCACTCAGCCACTGGGCGTGATGACAAACAAATAGTTTGCGGTTGAAACGAGCCATAGGCTGTGGATAATGATGGCCTCGGGTCTGATTTACACGCAGTGTGCAGGCATAGTACGCTGTGATCCATAGGACGGTAATTTATGGAGGGAAAATGTTTAGCGTCACCGCAGCAAGCTAGCTGAGCGCCACTGGTCTTGTACTTTTGAGCGCATCCATAAGGAAAGTGTCACCGAGTTCTATTCTCTCCTGACGTTTTTATTGTAGCCGAACCAGCTACAAGTGACGCAAACACGTTTACCAAAAGAACCACAGGTAAAACGGGTCTAAATTTTGCTGGCGAACGCTAAGATCCTCCACGTGTGCCACCAAACTGCATCCAAACTAGATTGTGACCGCAAGATCTGAACACAGATACACAGGACCGTCTGGCCACAGAGCTAAGTAACATGTCACGGCCACTGTCCAGCAGTGTACATGCTAGTCGCAGGGGGATTCGAAACAAAACTTTTTAAGCGCGATGAAGTACGGGACGTCTCGCACTCAGCGAACGTATGGTGTAGGGTATTACTAACATCCCGTTCGTGCGAAGCGAGCGTAAGCGTAGGGTATTTTAAGCCTACCGACTCTACCACCCACCTGTCGCGTAGCACAGAGTTGTAGGGTATTTCCAGCCCACTGAATCCCCTACCCACCTGGCGCGCAGTACGGGGTCGTAGTCCTCCGGTCGCGGTGCGTAGTGCATTGGCGCGTGGCTGTAGAGCGAGGCGCCGACGGGATCGGCCGGCCCGTACGACATCTTGGAGTCGCCGTCGGCCAACTCCAAGTCAGTCTCGATCACGTCCACTGCCGGAACAGAAAGGTCACGTCAGCCGTCAGATTTGTGCCTCGTGACACTCAACAACGACGTATACAATAACGGCACTACACGAAGTCTGAACACTACAAATTCCAAATACTATGTGAAAGCCGAACACCTAGGATTGAAACGCCACAACGCAGCAAAGTCTCGTTCCCTCTAACTAGTTCATCACTGGACCTGCGAAGTCGTAGTCCATCACAGGACCGCTATCATGCTCGTCACGGTCACGCTCCCCGGAGAACGCGTGGGCGGATCGGGCCACATCTCTCCACGTGCAGCACGACGAACTCCTGGCATCACCGTCACGGAATCCTTTCCAACCCCTGACTCATCAGCTCATGAATATTTTCCACACATTCGCGGTCATCATTTCCGATGGCGAGGTGGCGTATCCGCTGGCCGGCCTGATGTTGACAGTCGTGAAGACGCCCCGGGGATGGACACTGGCGATTGGTGAGCTCATCTGATGTCGCCGTGGAAAATCCATCCCCGGGGGAGCACCGTCAGACTGCAGGAAATGACGCCAGAGGCGATGATAGATGGACGGGGAAGGGACTCGACCGCTGAAGCAATTCTAAGGATTAATTTCGGAGAGTGTCGAGTTCTAAAGACGCAAACATTAGCCCAGGTCACGAGAGACTCCGTAAGGGCTGGGCTGTATTCCCTGAATCCTACCGGCTATATATGTATAGCACTCGGTGCTACAGCCGGTGCATGCATATTTATTTGGTATTGCTGATAGCTGGTCAAGGTGGCTTAATTTGGAGCATGCACAACCATATCTAAGGATATCCATGAAACACAGGATCAAAATCGAATATCAATATGAAAGAATGCTTCACAAAAGAGCCAAGTAGGCACAACAGAACCTACATGCACTTGCCATTTGGTCTGAATCCGTGAGATCCAGTATCTGTGCATGATATGACAACTCCCCACGTGAGCAGGCGATTACTAGGACGTTTTAAAGCCCGATTTCAGGGCGATAATGCTGCTAAAAATCGATACAATCCGGACACGATATGTAACATGTCTCAGTCTGCAAATGGCAGCTGATCCGAAAGTTGAGCAAACATTACACAGGCGCTGGGCTCGCTTCGCCATGTATTTGTAAACAAACACGAACAGAAGCTCGAGACGAGGTACGGTTGATAGCACCCACCGGGTCCGTATCTGTCCCAATGATGTTTATGGTGACAGAATGGATGCATTTAGGAGAGTAAATAGAGCATCTGATCCTTACAACCACGGATGAAAGCAAACGTTCGTCTGATAAAATGAAAGTCGACTGGAAATAGCAAGTTTGTTATCAAACTTTTATGACAAAACTCGCACCCCACCCACAGAATCTAGTGTCCTAAGATCGCACAAGATCAGGCTACTTGCCACGCTGATGGATCCTGAGGCGGGCGGTGGGTACCAGCCGGCGGGCGGGCGGCGATGGTGTTCGCTGCACGCGACATACCACCGGAGCATCCGACTGCGATCGCGCGTGGCTCCACCGCGTCCGTTCACGGTACAGGCGCGCCGGACCGGCCGGCAGGCTTCAGGAGGCCACGGCAACACGATGGCCAGATGAAGTTGGGTTGGGTGATAAAACGGCGGGGTGGCGAGACAGGACGAGTGTGATGAATAGGATGTTTCATGTCGTGGTTCAATTCCGATCTTACAGACTACTCGCAAAGTTAGAACACCTCGGTATAACTACACATACACATACAGCCAGCCTACACAGCCAGCCTACACATACACATACAGCCAGCCTTCACGTTTCCATAGTGACTGATTGAGCCATAGACCATTTACCGGCTGGATCAAACAGTGTGCACACCTGACAGTTCATCCATCGAGGGCGGATCCCGTCGGGTGGCCGCGAATGTTCCGCGTGACCCAGCCGTGCACCGGCTGTGGTTGTGCACCGTGCACCGTGCTCTGTGCACGCGGCGCCACACGCGGCGCCACACGTGCACGCCGACCAAACGGCGGAAAAGTGAACAGACCTGAGCATCAGGTGCACATGTGTGACAGCTAGCCACCCCCACGGCTTTATTGTGACATCACCGGTTGACCGAGCTACATACACAGGCGTATGCTGGGTCCGACCCGAGCTAGCTTTGGCACCGTAGATGTGACGCATAGAAACATCGCTTGTCTTGTTGTCTTCAGCACAAACGATCAAAACACTACAAAAGCCTACCAATCACATTTGAGCACATTTGATTGCCAAATAAACCCATCACAGCGACTAAAACACATCAGAAGAGCATCAGCATCAACCGGAAACTGCGACTGGTTTCGGGCACACCTGATGTCATCCTGCACGTTGTGCCGTCACCCCTTTGCATCAACCAGAACAATGGCTGCGCTTTAGCCATCTGTCGCCGTGTACCGAGATACACAGATACAGATACAGGCCGCCACAAACAGCCGTCGATAACGCTATCGTGTAGGCGCCACCACCCACCAGATATCGTCCGTCGAGCAGCACGCGAGGGCGGCTCACGCTGCTACAAAAGCCCACCGGTCAGTGACACCATCGGAAAGACCGGCGGGAGGGACGCCCCTTTGGAGCCTGACATGCCGCGCGATGGTTACAAGACATGTCATGTCCTTTAGGGAGGTGTATTGTTACGTAAGGCGAGATTATGGGGAAAACTCAATGATCTCGTTCTTAGGTAAGAAGGGAAGATCCCGTCACTCAGGATTCACGCATAGCTGAACAAAGCCATGCGGATTGCGGAACGTCCTTCACAACGCCGAGAATGGTTGATGAGACTTTGGAAGAACCAAGAAACGCTTAAATCACGGAGTAGTCACGAGTTGCCCCGACTGCGGGGTTCGTGACCACGTGATCGCGGACATCACGGATCATAGAGCGACACGTCACGTCACACTACGTCAGGCCATGTCTGCCATCATCAGGCGCTCAAGTATGCCACATGACGGCGTGGAGCAGACAGGCTGAGAGCGCCCGACGGATATGGTCCGAACGCCCGTGACGGGCCGAGCGTCCGTGACGGTGACATCACCAGCGGTGCCGGATCCGACGGACGGGTCCCACGCCCAAATAAAAAGCAGCAAGGACACTATGGGATCCTGTCTGAGGTGAATCATGCTTTACATCGCATGAAAAGGCTAGGCGAATCACTATTGAATAGGATACAGATAACAGCGAAACATTTGAACAAAATAAAGTAGTGCACCTATCATTTTCCTTGTTTGATTTAGTCATAATGCTCGTATAAGACTGAGCATCAGTCTGCAAACATCACGGCATACTGCAGCTCCTCGTCATAGCCTATTTCGGGCATCGGGTCGGGCCAGCAGACGGTGAGGAAAACTGAACCAACAGCAGGATAGGGGTCATGTTTTTGGACATAACACGCCACCACGAGCACGCCATTGGTGTATGTCTGTCTGCTTCAACTTACCACACTCGCGAAGTCCAGCGATGCCACCCGTCGGTGACACTCACTAATAAGTGCTCGTCGCACCACGTAAAAGGACGTTCGGTCAGTCACTCCAGCGTATCACCTCGTGGGCGACAGACCACCACGAAACCGGCACTCCTCCGCCCACAGCTCCTTCAGTCCTCCGTGCCCGTCTCACTTCCCTCCACACCGCAGCACGTGCTCTGAGGCTGCGACTGGGCCGCCCTACGTGCGACCCCGAACAGACGCAGAGACACACTGGCCGCCGGCGGCACCGTCGTGCTGTAGTAGCGCCGCTCGTGGGGAACCACGCGGCCAGTGTGACGTCACTCCCGTCTGGGTAAGCCCGGCCTGACGTCACACCTCAGAGACGAGGCGGTGGAGGAGGCTCGAGCGGCGTCGGCGCGCAGTGTCGGGGCCCCGGCCAGCCGACGAACCAGCCACCTCCGGGAGACGGATCGACCGCTTCCGCTGCGAGGGAAGTCCGGGGTCGTGGCACATCCGGTCTGCCGGCCGGCCGAGGGCGGTAATAAGGTTAGGTCAGTCGGTGAGGAGCGAGGTCGGACACCCGTGTGAACCGCCCTTAGCGAGTGGAGGGGGAGACCAGACACCATCAACACCCACCGACCTGGGTGGTCCGATAGTACTACGTGTCAGTCAGTACGTGACCCGTATTCACGTGTTTGACGGTAGCGTCTTGACGGAAGGCATCGTCTGGCGCTGGTCGTACGCGCAGGCCTCCAACACTAACAAATCGTCCCGAGGTGGTGACGCAGGAGCAGCTCTCGGTGACGGTGGTGTAAACACAACACCAGCCAGCAGAACGGGGCGTCACCACCGAACTGTGAGACCAAAGGCGTCACAGACTGCACCGGGAGTGCAGGGGGTTCATATACGCAGCGCGGACATATTGAAATGACGCGCGCGGCGCGAGAGAAGTAAGTCGTTCGGCATTTCAGAGACGTCATCAATAAGATGTCGTGATGGTCAACAGAAACGTGACCTCAGTCATGGCATCAGGAAAATGGTGTTTGAGAATTGGGTGTATATGCTGCGGAAATCTGTCGATTTTATTTTTGGGCCAACACCGTCAACTACTGACGTAGCAAGACACGCCTTATTCCATAAGTTATCATAGCAAATGTCCTGACTATTGATAACGTCATTGGAAATGACAGCAGTGGCGGATCCAAGGGGGGGGGTCACATGGGTCATGCCCCCCCTTGAGGCCCGGGGGCCCAAAGACCTGCCAGGGGCACCACCGGCCTATCAGGGGTATCACAGTCCTGACAGGGGCACCACAGGACCGCCAGGGGCACCACAGGCCTAGCAGGGACACCACGGGCCTGGTGTCCCTGGGCCCTGACAGGACTGTAACGCCCCTGACAAGCCTGAAGTGTCCCCGGCAGGCACGTGGTGCCCCTGACAGGCCTGAGGTGCCCCTGCAAGGCCGGTGGTGCCCCTGGCAGGCCTGTGGTGTCCATGGCAGGCCTGTGGTGCCCTTGCTAGGCCTTTGGTGCCCCTGACAGGCTTATAATGCCCCTGGAAGGACTGTGGTGCCCCTGGGCCCTGACAAGCCTGAGGTGCCCTTGACAGGCCAGTGGTGCCCTTGCTAGGCCTGTGGTGCCCCTGGCAGGCCTCTGGTGCCCCTGGCAGGCCTCTGGTGCCCCTGACAGGCTTGCGGTGCCCTTGGAAGGACTGTGGTGTCCCTGGGCCCTGACAAGCCTGAGGTGCCCCTGACAGGCCCGTGGTGCCCTTGTTAGGCCTGTGGTGCCCCTGGCAGACCTCTGGTGCCCTTGCTAGGCCGCTGGTACCCCTGGCAGGCCTCTGGTGCCCTTGCTAGGCCGCTGGTACCCCTGCGCCCGGAGAGGACTGGTGCCCCTGAAAAGTCTGAAGTGCCCCTCGGCAGGCCCGTGGTGCCCCTGACAGGCCCAAGGTGCCCCTGCGAGGCCGGTGGTGCCCCTGGCAGACCTCTGGTGCCCCTGGCAGGTCTGTGGTGCCCCTGGCAGGTCTGTGGCGCCCCATGGCAGACCTGTGTTGACTGGTGCCCCTGCTAGGTCGCTGGTGCCCCTCACAGACCTGTGGTGCCCCTGGGCCTTGACAAGCCTGAGATGCCTGGCTATGACAGGCTCGTGGTGCCCCTGATAGACCAGTGGTGCTTAGTGTCCTGAAATTGATTTTTCGGAGAGTGTGATTGAAGCTGCGAGGACGTCGCTATTTCAAAAGGACGTCGATATCGGTGCGGAGCCTAAGCCACTGAAGCCCTTACCTAAATCTCTTAAAATTAGCGATTTTCACTGGCAATATTGACTAATACCACCTCAAGGCACCTCAAATGATCATATATAGACACAAAGTAATGCCAGTTTACCCCTAGTAAAATACAAAATTCAAGCATTCACCACAAACACCAAAACAACACTTTGAAGATGTCTAGTTCTTGTCCATGATCGTACATAACAGTCAACAACAAATATGCTCAACAAAAATCAGCCCAAGAGCCAGCGGCTATCACTAAATATTGACGTCATAAGAGGGATATCATATCGAGCAAGAGGACTGATGTAAAAAAAACAGACGTCCAAACAAAGAGGTGGAAAACGGCTCGGAAAATTAATTTCCATAGCTTCCTGTTATGAAATTCAATGAAGAAAACTCCAAGGTGGACGCTGAATTTTTCTTGGCTGGAAAAAATGTGAAATCATCGTGCACTTTTCAGTTTTGTACCGACGTCGATTAAATGGGAATAACAAGGTCAATCGACGTCCCCAACATTGCGTGTATTTTTAAGCCAAGGACGACATACTTGAATTAATACTGTTGAAATTCGGTGGCCTTATTTTAATTCAAACAGATAAACATTAAACTTTTTCCCCAACCACTATCAACATATGCAAAATTGACTACTTTTAAAGGGCATGTTCAATGGGCAGCGCTAACCCGTTACTGTGACCTTCTGAGGGGAAAAAATAATTAAATATGTTACAGTAATTTGATACAAAAGGTATGTTGCTTGCTTATAGATAAATGTCCAAGTAATATATTCGCATGATTAATTTCTATCTATACACTGCACAGTTACTAAAACTGAAAAGTGGAAAACGACGTCCTCAGATCCCTCTATTCCGACATCTTTTCTCCTTCATATGGCAGCATTACCTTCACATGGTAAAGGAAAAAACTTATCCATATCTGACGCACAGAAAACAAAAATAAAATAAAACCGCGTTGTTTACTGTTGCGGCAGTTGGCCAGGAAAGGGGAGTTGAGTGTTAGAGTGAGTTTTTGAGGACTTAGGATATATTTATTGTCATTTTGCATAGCCGTGTTTTTAGGCTACAGAGGTGATATTTCTTTTTGTTAGTTTGCTTTTGGTGTTCGATATACCTATCGACTTTTATCTGTCAGGGACGTCGTTTGGCTTTCTGGGACGTCACAAAGAGAATCTGTTAGGTGTGGGTTTCCACCCAAATTCACGAAAATCAGGACACTGGTGGTGCCCTTGCTAGGCCTGTAGTGCCCCTGGCAGGCCTCTGGCGCCCCTGACCCCTGCGCCCGGAGAGGACTATGGTGCCCCTGAAAAGCCTGAAGTGCCTCTCGACAGGCCCGTGGTTCCCCTGGGCCCTGACAGGCCCAAGTTACCCCTGCGAGGTCGGTGTGGTGCTCCTGGCAGGCCTCTGGTGCCCCTGGCAGGTCTGTGGTGCCCCTGGCAGGCCTGTGTTGACTGGTGCCCCTGCTAGGCCGCTGGTGCCCCTCACAGGCCTGCGGTGCCCCTGGAAGGACTGTGGTGCCCCTGCCCCTAGGGGTGCTCATGGGCCCAACAGGCCCGTTGTGCCCCTGACAGGCCTGTCGTGTATACTTGCTAGACCTGTGGTGCCCCTGCTTTCTGGCAGGCCTGTGGTGCCCCTGGCGGGCCTGTGGCGCCCCTACAAGGCCGTAGGTGCCCCTGACAGGTTTGTGGTGTCCCTGGAAGGACTTTAGTGCCCCTGACAAGCCTGAAGTGTCAAGGACAGACCCTTTAGACGCCAGGGTCAAGTTCGTCGGACTGACAACGATTTGCTTACCTGATAACGTTCCTGGTAAGTACTCACTACTCAGCGTCCACAACATATATACACATAGCACATTCATATACTTGCTTACAATTGGTAAATGTGGTAGTGGCTAAGAGTTAAGATACTGACTAAAAAGAAAAAATAAAAAGAAAAAACTGAAAATGGGGGCACCACCAAAATGAAGTGGACGAAATCCGTTGAGTTTTTAATTTTGGGTATAGGTAGGGGCACCACTTCGATTCATGACCCTCCCCTTGGAGTTTTCCTGGATCCGCCCCTGAATGACAGACGCAAGCTTCGCAAACAGTCGACACAGACATTATTTCTCAATCAATGCAGATACGATAAAATTTGCTGTTAAATCGACAAAAAGTATCAATCATCTACTGATATAGCCGAAACGTAGGACAACGCGTTGACTAATACAATAGTCAGCAACTTATCGAGATAAGAAATTACGAAGGCAGCCAAAATCCTCAAACGACAATGTTTGTCATCATACACCAATCACAAAATGCGGCGGGTAATCTACCGCCTCCGCTTACTCACAGGTACGAGCGGACGGGTGTCATACAAGTGTTGTGCGCTTACTCATACGAGTGCATGAGTAAGCGCGCAACACATTTACGAGAGGTTCAATGGGCACACGAGCACCAACGCACCGCGACCTTGCCAGAAGAATTCAGCCTTGCCATTTGTCAGGTTCATGCGTATTGCGTAGTGCTTGACCAGTATATGGACAGTGGGTTAGTGCAAAATATTCGGTGGTTGCTTGCATAGTGTGCACACTTTACTGGGTTGTTTTAAATTCAGATAGCTTTACTGGGTCGTTCTAATTTAAGACAAGTGATAAAATCAACCAGCAAAAATCGTCAGTTATTTAAACAGGTCAATCGAGCCATTTCCATATCAACAAACTTACTTATTAGATTAGCTCGTTGTTCACCTTTAGGAGCTTTGATATGGACCAAATATCAGCATTGACGCGGACAAGGCCTGAGGAGCGTGCACCCCTCCCCTCCCCTCCACCACCATCACCCTCAGCCCATCGCTGCCAGTCCCGTTACCACCCACGCGCAAAGTCGGCGCGACTCACTTGGTTCCAGGTGCTAATAATAAATTCACCACAGAATCGATAACCACGCGGTGAAAGGCATGAGGAAGGAAACGGAAAGCCAGGATTTGACAGCTGGACATACCATTGTTTAGAGCAGCAGTGTACTTGACAGAGAAATGCTAATTATCTACATCCGCCCTACACGTGGCACGTGCGTGATGAGGAAATTAATGCATCCATGGTATGCTTTTAAGTGAAAAGACATTGGTATTTACCACTACAGGTATAGTACCACGGCGTTTCGAGAGGCTTCTTAGTAAGGTGAGCGAGTTCTCAGAACGACTAATTTTCTCACTCTGGCAAACAAATTATAAATCTAGGCAGACATGATATAA